CTCTGCACCAATGATGGGCACATTTTATGAATGCAGGACAGCCGCCTTCTTGGTTGTGCAAGTAAGATGATATGGAGTGGTTAAACGAAGTACGCCCTCCACACGAGAATCCATATGCCGAGGTACTTGCGATTTTAACAATGGCTAGCGCATTCGAAGCTCGAAATTCAAGTCTCCCAGTGATTCTTACGTTCCACTTCAGTGGGACTCAGCCGCAGCCTGAAAAGCGCACCATCGCAGCTAAGCAACCATCATCTTCCACACTATTCCACGGCCAGGCGAGCGGATTACGGTAAACTAACACGGAAGTGGGAGGCGCACCAACTGCGCGGACAAAAGACAACGCCCAAATGATACAAATGTGGCTCCACATTTAGCTTATCAGACAAGAGAGGAGTTTCCGGGGCAAAGACTTTTTCTTAAACGAATGAATCACCAACTCCAGTAAAAGCGAGAAAAGTTAGGAGTTGGTTGAAATATTGTGGCGAATGATGAGGTAGCTTTCCTTGATCCAGGAGGAATTCAGATGCCTATGGTTTAAGTATCAGGTGACTAAATTGGGTCACGAAAAGAGGACAGTTCGAAGCTGTCAGTGTCAACTGACCTTATTCCAAGCTGAGAGGTACCTCAGTTCAGCGTCCGCGCATGTACACGAATGAAGACTGCAAAAAATCACCTACTTGCCACTCCTCCTAAGTGACTGGACTCGGTGGCCAAAGGTGAGAGCAAATCGGTGTCAAGACCCCGATAATGCCAAGATGCCAAGCGTCAGGGCATCTACATGTACCGTAAATGCCTCAATCAAAAAGCTAGCGGATGAGGAAGACCGCGGTGAATGGAAGTTGGATAAACAAATGTAAACATGAAGGGAAGGAAGGAATGAAGATCTGCCTAGATGTAAAGTTAAGGAAAATTTAATACTAGAACGGGGTCGTTTGTCAGTGAAGTTCAGCCCAGTAATGAGACGTCACGGTCTCGAGTTTAGGCGAGTGCGGTATACATGAATGCACGAAAATAAAACGATTATTAACGCAGCATGAGTGGCAATTGTCGGTCCCCACACTTAGACTATAATTTAGTTGGCATGAAGCTAATCAAGGCAACGGAGTGCACCGCAAATGGAATAAAGTTGAGAAAACAGTTGTGCATAGATAGTAGTAGTAGGCTGAGCGCACAACTGCTTGTGTTACGCTTGGAGGTAGGAGGTAAAGGTAAATACAACAGAAAAGCGGGAGGTAGGCTTACACGTATGAGGCTGTGAAAAGTTAGTGTTACCAAAACAAATGGCCTGTGTAGAAAAGGTCGTCTTTTCATATGATCACGATGAGGGAAAAGAAGTGCCTCAAAGTGATTTACGAAATGAAATGTGAATGACTTGCTAAAGACGTTATGCAGAAACGGATCCGCAAAAGTTTTGACTTAGGCAGGGCGAACAAGCAAACGATGACAGGTGCATAATTGGGGGAAGCTGATAAACGAACGCACAGGATGGGATGAAGAAAAATTGGGTCAAGGCCCTTTATGCCATAAACTTTTACATAAACAGAAATCCATCAAAAAATTGATAAGGTGTTTATGAAATACCAGTAAGAGATCAGAACCACTTTGGAAGGCTCGAAGGCAACACAAAATACGTCAAAAGTGATGAGCACGAGCGACGCAAATAAATTTGGCACAACTGCACAACTTAAACAGTTCAAATGCGAAATGAGGATCAGAATCGTGACGGTGGTCGAAGAGCTCTCACCTAACCCTTCATTCGTGATCAAATTGTAACAAAGTGCCGCAAACGCAAATGTGGAGAATGATGGCAAGAATGATGAACTTACAACCATAAAAAGAGACAAAATCCCGAGATATACAGATTCCGCTGAGCCCTGAAGAGTTTCATGAGATAGACCGACTCCGTTTCAGGTTTGAAGATGCTTGGATCAGATCTCAGTTCCTGGTAGACACGATTCTGCTCTCTAACCTGCCTCACGGCCTCTGCAAGTTAAAAAAGAACTCAGCTCTGCAGAGAAAAATGGTGATAAAGCAGTCAGCAATTAGTTGCGCACCGAAAACCATCAAACCGAGCATAATTAGGCATCCGTTGAAGTAAAATGAAGCATATGAAGCTATGTAGCCTACGACGCGAGATTTGAAAAGAGAGTTCCACCTGCAATGAAACCAGCAAAAGGTTAAGAAAAGTTGTGAGTAGAATCGGCAGTAGTTGCATCTGGCTCGCATTACATTTTGGAGGAAATGAATGGCATCAGAAGAAGTGTAATGACAGCTGCCTCGGTGTAGAGGAAGGTGGCAGTGATTGTCCAAAGAAGCGACATTCTTAACTACAAATATAGACATACACGTAGGTTATCAACATTTCACAAAAAGTAATAGCATCACAAACGTGCTAAGCAGAAAAATTTCAAAGAGGGAAGCAAAAAAATATAAAATACACAATACAAGAGAAGAATATCTCATAGAAAACGAATTAAAACAGAACAGGAACGAACAACACCAGACCAACCACTCGCAAACCCACTCGTCAAATAAAGTTTGAAAGTGCTGCATCACGAAAAATTTTAAAACAAGCGTATCTGCAATTTAAAATTAATGTAAGCGCTGCTAGGAGGTCCAATATTTATGATTTTTAAAGCGCATCTTTTGATTGTGTTTAAGAATATCGCCCTTAAAGCGCTTTTGAGGATCGCTTCTCGCTTTGTTGCATATTTCCGCAATTTAAGCATAGAATTATATAAGTACAAATTGTGAGATTATCACGAGGTAGCTACAGAAACCAAGACTAATTTTAGCAGAATTATTTAGTTTTGTTTTTATAATGGGTATTCAGTCATCGATTAAAATCCATAATTAAAATAGATAAATTTTAATTAAATCTGTAGTCCAACCCTATTGTGTCCCGAGGCTTCCCATAGGGTGGAGGAAGGCATAAGTGAGGTTGAATCTATGTGTTCCGAAGACGACAGGGTAATTGGAGTCTGAGCGTGGCTCGAAGTCCTGCTCACGTTTACAAAGGCCAGACAAATTCTAAACTGACCACTAAACGTCAGGTAGTCATATAAACGAGGCATCGCAATCCTTTCCTAACCTCAGGCTCCTTTTTAATTGATCCCAATGGGTTAAAGTATGCCTTTATCGAGACGAAAAATCAATTAAAACTCGATTCCATTTTGCAAGGATCGTGAAGAAAATTTGTCAGATTGATTTCAGCTTTCCGTTTCATCAAATCTCCCTTCTTATTTCTTTTCATTCTACATATGATATTCAATAATGCTTCTTCAACGAACCCTGGGAGTAGGCAGTCGGACTTTACATTCTGAAACTAGGACTGAAATGTTTTGTTATGTTAATACTGTTTATGTTACTGAGTTTCAACTATAATTTTAGGATTTTTCTGGTCTTTGCGCTCGTGCGCTAGCTTTCGGGGCATACTCATGTCTATTTGCTATGTTTTTTATGAATGTACGTATTCAGCCTCCTTTACTGCCTTCCTCCACCCTTTGGGAAGTCTCGGGACTCCACAAGGACTTCATGACAGGTTTGGTTGAGGTAGTTCCATTTAACATCGTGTACACAAAAGGAAAAGAGGGAAGCATTGATGAGACACTAAGCCAATGTCACAATGCGGATATATCTTTGACCTTCTCACGAACGGAATTCCTTTTTCCAGATGTTTACTCCCCTCTCCCCTACAAATGCAACTTAAACGCCTTAGCGTCCGCGACTTTTTACCGGGTGGAAGAATGCAGTAAGCGAAGCCAGATACATGTATTTCAAAGAGAACAAAGGGACTAAGCCTGAGCATGACCTGAAGGCCAGTCTACACGCACAAAGGAAAGCAAATCTTAAGGTGACCGCCAAACGTCAGGTAGTCACATAAACGGCATCACAACACCCATTAGGTGTAAGGCATTAAAAAGATCTTAACATTTGCACTCAGCGACAAGAGTAAGGGTTTAAGCTTGGCCCGACTTAAATTTCGGCCCACGTGAACAGGGCTAAGCTTAATATTAACGTAAACCCCCCAGTTATGCAGATGGTCAAGCGAGTGAGGTACTTCATTTAAATTTAGTATTTCCGCCATACCTTTACGACATTTTAAAGCCAAAATGTGTCTCAAGAGCCTCAAGGCATCTTATTTATTTGGAGAATTCATTGAGCATTCCACACTGGATATGTTTAAGTAGTAAAGTTCAAGGCTCGACTCTAGCCTGACCCAAGTGTTGGTCCGCGATGCAAAGGTGGATTGAGAACCAAAGATGTAGCGTCCCGAGGCAAAAGTGAGGGTGAAGGCGACAGGGCAAATGGGGCCTGAGCGTGGCCCGAAGGCCAGCTCACGTGTACAGGTACCAAACAAATTTCAAATTGACCGCCAAACGCCATGCGGTCACATAAACAAAGCATTGCAAAAGAAACCGCCGTTTATAAGCGTAGTTAAAAGACCCCAAATTTAGTATGGGCATTGCTTAAGTCCAGCCAGTTTACTGTTTATTTACTAAGCTAAAATCTCAAAGTTGAATTGATATACTTGTCAAAACGTGGGTTAAGAATATTTAAGCGATAGAATTTGATGAAGAGTTTTAAGGGAGAGGTAGTCGAACGTTGTGCTCAGCACCGCTTACTGAATATTTCAACTCGCATTTACTTGCCAGAATGTGTGCCTTTGGTAACCGGATGTTATAAATTGAGAACACATACTTGGTTGCGCGGATGCACTAGCCTTCAAAAAGGCATCAAAAGTAAGGCTTCGACCTAATCGTCAAATGGGATGGGATGGGATGGACATCGTGGTAGGGGCTGGAATGCGGTGTGCACGACGAGCAAAGGCTTTTGTGATTTGGTACAGAAAGAACACTGTCACAGGAATGCATACACTCACCATCAACTCGAGCATAAACCCACCTTCGTTAGTCTTTTTTACGTGTGAGCTGCCTCGTTTGCTCAATCCTTTCGTTTCAAAAAATTTTATAAATCAAACAATGAATGATGAAAACTAATACAAACTTGTCGCCAAATAGTTCAACAGGTAAAAGTACGAAGGTGCATAAAAAGTGTGAAATGGGGGGAAAAGGAAATGGACGATGGACTTTTTTGCGTTGATAAGCCATCAATTACAGCTGTTAGTCTTCTGTGTATGGCGGCGGTGATAGTCCAGGTGGTGGTGCGAATGGTGGAGGTCTTTCCAAATCCGCGGCTGGTGGTATCACCTTTCCACACTCTTCCTCCTCACCATTCATGCTGTTAGTTATATCAACGCTGACATTAGCTGGAGGAGCGCTTGGAGCCGGAAGTGGTTCTGCAACGCGTTCGGACACTGCTCCCACTCCATCAGCACCAGCACCACGTCTTGGCTCTTGACTGTTTGTTTCTGATTGTGTAAGGGTTGTGTGAGTCGTTCTGTGTGCTGGAGCACGTCGGCGTCTGACAGAGTCACTGGGCTGCCGTGGGTACGGTTTCTGGAAATTAGTTGATTTTACTGATTATTTTATCTTCGAAAGCACTCCAATTAGCATAAAGTGCGGTTACATTGCTTTTGTTTTCACGGTGCATTAAGCCACTGCAACACAACCAAGACTCAAGTGCCCGAAATTTACTTAATTCTACATTGACATTGAAGACTCACTTGTCGAAGAGCTTCGGCAGCTTTAGGTCGGTAGTCCTTCGTCTCTGAAATCGCACGAATTAGACGAAATAGTCGATCTCCTGTTAGTACAGACGCGATGAGGCAGGCGATGGCCAATGCGATGAGAACATAACCCAATACCATTAACCCACTATGCAGAAAAAATAATGTCTACTGAATGATCTTCAGTACAATAATATTTATGTAAAGTAGATGGATGACAAACTAAGTCGTGACCGCCTAAAAGTTCGCCCTTCACAGCGAGAACACTTCATCCCCAACATATCGTAAGATTTCAACAATAATGAATAATTGTGTTGAAACATTAACAGTTCATTTGGATTGTTAAAATTGCTCTTACACTAGTCAAGTAGGCAAAGAAGCAAAGAATTTTGGACACGGTCATTTGAAGTACAGGGATTTAATATTTTAAGCAAAATAAATGCACTATAAAGCGAATTTTGATAGATCAAATGGCATACTAATTGTTCTGGCCTGGATCAACCGCCACATAAATTCCCACGCCCAAAATTATTGCCGTAATAAGGGATAGGAGGGTGAAAGCAACTTTCAGACTATGGAGATATGCATCTCGCTTATCTAAATCTTCCTGATTTGGAGCTGTTGGCAGTCGAGTAGACGTGAAGGCCATTGGTCTAAAAACTAACCAATGGGAGAGCTGATTAAAGGTGGAAGCTACTCAAGGCCTGGTTATAAGATGCGGGTTGTCTTTCGCTGAAATGGGTTAGCAACTTACTAAGCTTACTACCCTTGATTGTATCGAAATTTCCTTTATACATGGTGCAACGCTACGAAAATAATGAGTGAAGGTGGCTGTCAAGCTCTGGACAAGTGTATCGCCACCCAGTATGCTGTATTTTTATTCCAAAAAAAGCTTTCTCAGACCCTGAGAGATCAAAGATGGCATGGTGTAAATACCTTCGTGAATGCGTCATTTTGTCGGTTGCCACCAGTTTTATGGAAGAGTGGACATCTTATCCTGGTGATACCGACTAACAAGCTCGATGCAATAAGGCGATTAAATTTTTTGGCTACTTGCCAAAGCGCGTAGCTACAGATGACGGACATTGGTTGGAGGTAGCTGAGTAAAAGAGGAGTACCAGCGAATTTCCCCTTTGGCAATTAACTCAATCTTGCCTCCAATGAAGAGACCATTATAAGGCGAGGTGTATGCTTCAAGAAAGAGGGAGGGGCATAAAACACGCCCTAATTAGAGGTCTACGCCCAGCCATCAGGTCCCAATCTCACAAATGATCGCACGAATTGGGTGAAAGTCGAGTGTTAATGCAAATTTGTTGTTGATTCAGTGACCCAAATGTTGGATGTCCTTCTAGTTCGCGAGCAATTTTTGCAAGGAGGGATCCACGGTCTGACAACTGATAGGGAAGTCTGACACCCACGTGAAGATAGGTGTGTAATGCTGTGCTATTTTGGTGAGAGAAGTGACCAGCTGTCGTGATTTTTGGTCCACACTCGCCTATCGGCCAGACATGTAGCGTCACAGCGTTACTCTAGGCGAAGAAAATAGAAGATCCCCTCCTATGATTGTGTACTTGGCTACAAGAACAGAAACGACTTGCAGTGTTTTTGACGGTGCCACGCATACGTCTCGTCTCATTCATCCATTCAATGTGTAAGCTACCTAAAAGCAGGTGCCTAGTGTCCTCAAACGACCTTTCGCTTTATCAGGTCTCAAGCCACCTTCCAATGGTTTTACCTACGCCAGCGTTAAAGCACTCAGAATGGTCGACAAAATGAGAAACAAATGATCCTTCACACCTGAAATCAGAGATGAGAAAATCTAAAACTTACCTTCAACTACGTTGCGCTCAGTTGTGTTTTTGTAACGGCAATAACAAAAGTTTTGATAAACACATACTGAGTTTGTTGTTAGTTTAGGAATCACGCAGGAAACGAATGGAGAGAGACTTTGTAACCGTAGCAGAGCGCACCAACACCAGTCAGAGAGAACCGAATGCATACACCATGCTACTAAAATCACATTTAAGTAGTATAGATCTTCACTTCCAACGGACTTTTAAGAGGTCAGAACGATGACAAATGCTTCGTACTTCGCATTAGAAGTGCTTAACTCAATTTCTGTCAGACTAAAAATGCTTTCACGATTCTGTCACTACGGTACGAGATGAGTCGGTCCAAAGACGAACCAATGCGGCGCTGGTTCACTTTGGGGCTCGGTAGTCTGAAGATGCGAGAGTGAGGAAGACACCTCGTCCAAAGCAT